GAGACACAAGAACACGAGGGTTAAATTTCCCTCATCAACGCGTGTTAATGTCTTCACTGCAGTACTTGACTTATGAGGATTGTCTGAAGGAAGCTTATGAGGCGGGCGCTACATGCCGGATGTCGAATGAATCTCATCTCAAGGCTGAGATCAATGATGTTTGCGATGGACACCAAGAAAAACTGAAACGTCTATGTTCCATTCATTGCGCGAAAGGTTAGGCTGAAAATTAGTGTAAGTTTCAATCATAACCACTACGTGACGTACACAAAAAGTAATTGTCTATCAATTGTCGAAGGAAGTCCAAGGTTATAAAACCAGTTTTCACTTCTATGATTGGTCTAGAGAAAATTACACCACCTTCGCTTCCTATCAGACGCTGGAATAAACTTCATTTATGACGTAGTCATTTACGTCTCCCCTCCCCCTCCCCCTCCCCCTTCGCTTTAGAAAGCGTCCTTATTCTATTTACTCTACATGAGCTCTCCTTGGCTCTCTAGGATATATTTCTTTGTACTGATTGGCCAATAGATTATTTTGACTTCAATTTTACTAAAACTACTTGAAATACAACCAATGAACATTGACAAGATCAGTATGCAACTGTTATGAATCAATGAGTAGAAAGATATGAGGAAATACCCATGGGGTTTAGGTATCAACTGAACAAGGAGGCGATTAGCGCTAAGAACACTACGTTTTTAGAAAGAAATTATCAAAGATGCTCATGTTACCAACTGATTTAAAATACGTCAAAAGTTTCTAAATTTCCCATTACGAGCTCAAACGAGCGACAAATTTGAACGTTCGACATTGTTGATGTTTAAGACAAAGTAATTCCCTTATAACAATAATAATAGTAATAATGATACACTTTATTTAGAGAGGGTGGTACGGAATAGTTGAAGTAAATGGTTCGTACAACTTCAGACAAACAAAATTCAAGGACTTTTCAAGGACAACGTTTTATTCATACAACTAAACCATTTACGATTGAATACACATTTGCCCATCGCTCAATTAAATTGAAAACAAAGGGAAATGAAAAATTCGTCGACCAAAACATAGCCAAACCACTACATGTTTATGTTGCCCCTTAAAACAAAAGCACAATGGCGGACTACCCCACATCGGAGGCCTTGCGCATGAAACTGAGGCACAGATCCAACTTTGCTTCATGTACCACTTACGTTTTATACCGGCCATTTTGGCTTTTTGGTAGTTACTAGTGGACAAATTTTCCATAGCAAAATCGTTTAATTTATCAGAAAAGCGATAAGGCGCACACAAGTTGCTAAATTTCAAGGACTTTTCATGACCTACTAAAGAAATCAAGTACTTTTCAAGGACTTACCCAAATTCAAGGACTTTTCAAGACGACCGTTAAAATTCAAGACCTTTTCAAGATTGTACGAACCATGGAAGTAACCAATAAACTTGTGGCCCTCTATTTAAAAACTTCTAACAAGCAATGTATGTTGAATTCTAACATAACTATCAATAAAAACTAGGAATTAATACTTATCTAATAAGAAGACGAGTTACGAGTAAAAATAAAATGTAACTTGAGAGCAAATGATGAATCATATGTTAGAGCATAAAATGATGTAGTTTCTGTTGTACCTTAAGAAGGTTGTTTCTATAATTGTTCTTAAAAGATTCTAATGACACAGAATTCCTGAGTTCTAGACTTAA